AATAGTTGCCAATTTTAAGAAATCAATTAGACTAACTTAGTTTGCTGCAACATTGAATTATTATTTGGCATTTGTGTCTTATCGGTTGGAAATAACGGTCCAATCACTGCATTCTGGTTTTCTAGAAATCACATTGTTATTTGGAATGTTGTTGGATGACAAAAAAGCAGAATTTTCATTAACGTAATGATGATTCTAATGTAATGATAAATTCTTTATCCATAAATGTAAGTGTATGGGGACAAAACAATATTTCACTGTATTTAAAAAAAAAAGGTTTTGTTTGTAACCAATTTTCATCATTGAAATATATGAAGAGCAAACACGTCTGCAAATTTGCTGGGATGATAACAGACTAAGTTATTGTAAGATGAATGAAAAGTCCTCCCTTTGTTCAATTGCATCTTCCCCCCAATTTTATTGGTGTCCCTTGCTATCACAATCCCCAGTCACCAGTCCATTCACTATCCTCAGTCACCAGCCCAGTCCATACGGACTACATTTCCTAGCATCCCTGCTGGTCAACACAGCCATCACCACACCTGCCATAGATGAGCTCATCAAGCCCTGTATAAGAGCAGTTACTCTCCACTTTTTCCTTGACTGGTCTCGTCACTTCACATGTGAGGACTTACCTGGCTACTTTCTTGGATGCTTCCCTGTCTTCACTAATCCTTCACCACACTCACCAGCACCTGCAACAAGCAAAGAACTGTTTATGCTCAAGCTAAGTGCTATCTATTAGTGATGCAAAGGCCGATTCATTTCCGCGAGCTGGTTCTTTTCGGACAGATCGGCTCATTGAACCAGTTCAAAAAGCCGATTCATCGGTTGTAGTATGTTTATATTATTAGAAAATAAAAACATGAATAATTGTGTTTTCATTGAGATTAATAGATATATAATCACATCTGGCTCTGAAAAGTAGCATCACCAACTTCCGCATTCATTTTTGTCAATGAATAGTTGCCAATTTTAAGAAATCAATTAGACTAACTTAGTTTGCTGCAACATTGAATTATTATTTGGCATTTGTGTCTTATCGGTTGGAAATAACGGTCCAATCACTGCATTCTGGTTTTCTAGAAATCACATTGTTATTTGGAATGTTGTTGGATGACAAAAAAGCAGAATTTTCATTAACGTAATGATGATTCTAATGTAATGATAAATTCTTTATCCATAAATGTAAGTGTATGGGGACAAAACAATATTTCACTGTATTTAAAAAAAAAAGGTTTTGTTTGTAACCAATTTTCATCATTGAAATATATGAAGAGCAAACACGTCTGCAAATTTGCTGGGATGATAACAGACTAAGTTATTGTAAGATGAATGAAAAGTCCTCCCTTTGTTCAATTGCATCTTCCCCCCAATTTTATTGGTGTCCCTTGCTATCACAATCCCCAGTCACCAGTCCATTCACTATCCTCAGTCACCAGCCCAGTCCATACGGACTACATTTCCTAGCATCCCTGCTGGTCAACACAGCCATCACCACACCTGCCATAGATGAGCTCATCAAGCCCTGTATAAGAGCAGTTACTCTCCACTTTTTCCTTGACTGGTCTCGTCACTTCACATGTGAGGACTTACCTGGCTACTTTCTTGGATGCTTCCCTGTCTTCACTAATCCTTCACCACACTCACCAGCACCTGCAACAAGCAAAGAACTGTTTATGCTCAAGCTAAGTGCTATCTATTAGTGATGCAAAGGCCGATTCATTTCCGCGAGCTGGTTCTTTTCGGACAGATCGGCTCATTGAACCAGTTCAAAAAGCCGATTCATCGGTTCCTGACGTCATCAAGCAATAACGTCTCTACGCATTTATTTTCTAATAACTCGGTGCCATATTGTATCAATGAAAAATTCAAACAAGTCATTTGTGTCAACACATAGGCCTATTGAAACATTAAAAAAATAAAGTTATTTGTGTGAAAGCATATTGCTGATTATTGCCGTATAATTCATTTAAGTTAATGATGTTTGTGGTCAGTTTCATTCGCGGATCCTTTGTCAGATACGACTGACTGACCAATATTGACTAGCCTACAACTTGGATAAGATTCCTAAAAGTTTCACACCTACAGCACACATTACAGGCTTTGATGCACAAACGCGGATCTGTTCTACATGTCTACAGTATAAAGAATGAATAAACATAAACTCCTTGATTTCGCTTAAGCAACATTAAATATAATATCGTCTTGCGTCATCAACCCGGAACTAAAGTTCGATTCAGTTCGATTTATGAACCGGTGTCATGAGAAATCGAGTCCCCCCTCGAAATCGAGTCCGCTTAGGACCCCGAGTGATCCCATTGGCTCAACGAACTTTTAATGGGTATTATTTTTAGCGCCTGATTACAATTCCTGCAAAATCGCGCTTTGATTTATAATAATAATAATAATAATAATTCATTACATTTATAAAGACATCCTAGGACCTCGGTTTAACGTCTCATCCGAAGGACGGTGCTTGTTGACAGTATAGTGTCCCCGTCACTACACTGGGGCGTTAGGACCCACACAGACCACAGGGTGAGCACCCCCTGCTGGCCTCACTAACACCTCTTCCAGCAGCAACCTAGTTTTCCCAGGAGGTCTCCCATCCAGGTACTGACCAGGCTCAGCCCTGCTTAGCTTCAGTTAATGTATATGTCGTTTGAACTTCGTTATAATGACCATTAATGTATTTTAAATTACATGTTTCATACGCTAGTATCCGAAGCTATAGGTTGTGAAATCAAACATTTCTCGTTTTTATTGTTTGTTTTTTTTTTGGTTAGCTCACGTACTAGTATAGCATACAGCTACCCGATTATTTGAACTTCGTTATAATGACAATTAATGTCTTTTAAATTACATGTTTCATAGACTAGTATCCGAAGCTATAGGTTGTGAAATCAAACATTTCTCGTTTTTACTGGGTTTATTTTGGTTACTCGCGTACTAGCATAGCATACAGCTACCCGATTAGCCTGCTAGGTTAGCTTATACACCACGCATTTGCACTTACCATACATATATTCACAACGAAATAGTAACATAAGTGTTGACTTTTGATCAGGCATTTAAAACATCTACCGCCTTGGTCCTAAGCGGACCCGATTTCGAGGGGGGACTCGATTTCTCATGACACCGGCTCGACTGGTTACTTCTTGAGAACCGGCTCAAAAGAACGATTCGTTCAAGAACCGAACATCACTACTATCTATTTTCATTGACTTATATACTCACCTGTTTACCACACTGCTTCTCTGAATTACCTGTGAATAAATACTTTGTTGACATTACCTCTGAGTCTTCTCCTTCTGTGCCTGACACTTGCTTTTATTTATTTGCTATTGTTTACTAGTTATATACTGCTATTCATTTGAGGTGGCTTAATTAAATTAATTTTATATATATATACGGTCTAATCAGATTCAATGATCTATGCTAAGCTACAGCTGAAAATGCTACTGCCAGACCCGGAGTTCGGCTGAATGGATTCGAAAACAGTAAAACTTAACTGTTTAACTCTAGGGGAGTTGGAAAATGAGCCTATTTTCAAAAATAGTGGAGTGTTCCTTTAACTCTGCTTTGCATGAGTGTTGCTTAGAATGTAACAGTCGGAAGGGTTCAGCTGATGTTAGGGTCAATGGTGTGACACTCATGTTCTTTTTATCTGGGTCTGTTAAGGTATTCAAAAATACTTGAATGCAGCATTTTTATGATGAACATGCTTTCAATTTCTGAGATAAAATTGTTTGGTGTTTAAATTAAATTGTATGTGCATGTCACCTGCTTTCATCTGCTTCTTTTAAAAAATCTTTAAAAAAAAATTATAAGTTGTAAATAAAAATTACTTTTTAGTAATACCTTTTAGGAAATATTATTTTGGTCCCTATTCTTCAAAATGTCATGTTTAATTCAATGTATAATTCAAACTTGATATTTCTATGTACTTATTTGGGAAATTTACTAGCAATTTCTGAGTGAACATTGTTTCAGTGTATAAATTAAATTAATATTCTATTAATGAAATCTACAAAGGCTATAAATTCCTACTGAATGTTAAACATACATATTTAGTTATAATTTTTTTTTATATAATTTGTTTAAAATGGTATAAACTTCATGATATTCATAATCCTAAAGTTCATGGTAATTGTAATTGTGTTTTAAAAATTATGCTGCTAAATTATAGTGGGTATAGAAAAGAATCACACCCCTTTAAAATAATCACATTTTGTTGCTTTGCAGCCTGAAATGAAGACAGACACAGTTTTTGTTTTATCCAGCTGTATTTACTCAGTGCAACGTATAACTTATATTCAGTTTTTAAATTTTTTTCTGATATGTTGGTGTTATATCTTTCACTTGGATGAACCAAGACTTGGTGCTTCTTTTAAATAGATTTTTTTCTTTTTTTACTGGTTTGAGCTAGATTTCTTTTTATTATCTTTCACATGTAGCTACCATTGACCCCATTACATTGGCCATCTTTACATTGTCTGTATGGACCCTCCCCATGTAATATATGCTAAAACCTTCTGATGGACATTTTAAATATAAGCTGTATCTGATTCTTTCTCACTTTCATTTCAGTTCTCACTTTCCGGGTAGAGCGGCACTGAGTGTAGAATTACATACCCTTCCCCGTACAATTGATTTGTGAGTAATTAAAAATGTCTGCAGCTGGACGTTGTCCAGCTTCATGTTCTATTCATGCAGATTAATACATATTTGTCGGGGCCTCCGGGATCAGACAGGCAGCAATGTCTGCTATTAAACATTCATGAGCGAGCAGAACACAGGGACTCATATCCTACTGATATTTATGGGTCCATTTCTACATCTTAGTGCCATCATAATGGATTACGAAATCAGAACATTATCGCTTAGCAGAGATGGAAATTTAATTTGTGTCACGAAAATTTATTAATAAATGGCTTTTTCTTGGGAATTACACTCACACGGACTTGTGCATGCGTCTATGTGTGGGTTTAATACAGGTGGCTGGAGTGGGTGGGGCAACTGGGCAGAGTGCAGCAGTGAATGTGGAGGCGGAGTCCAGACGCGTACACGCACCTGTCAATCACCACCTGAGGAGGCGTACTTGTGCGAGGGTGTCCTGGAAGAAGGTCGTCCCTGCAACGCTCAGCCATGCATCGGTAAGTTGCGTTCTAGGCTCATGCACGTTTGCACGTGACCGTTCACACATCCACTTCTTCTCTAGCTTTCTCTCTCTATCACTGTCTGACAACTCATTTTTCACATTTTTCACATTTCACTGTAAAAAAAGATGTTCTGCTTCTTGTGTGACACAATGATAATAATGATAATGATAGACTGATGATAGAATGAGCATTTTTGTGTGCTTTTCATTGAACCCATAGGCTACAGGCAGTATTCCTCTAAAGGCAAGGGTTTAAGTCCAGTGAAATACAAAGGAATGCAAGAGGCCATGCTTGGTAAGGGCGTCACTGACCAAATCAGTTTGAATGTGGCTGTAGTGAGTAGATCTTCACTCAGTTTGGATGGAGGCCATGAGTAAATAACCCACTCCATGGTCAAGGCCATCGGCTGCAGATGTCTTCACCTCGATTGTCTGTGTCTCCGTTCCGCATGGTCTGCTTATTTTTTCATCCGCCATCCACTGCTCGCTCCATCTTGCCCTCTTTCTGCACACTTCCTCACATTTTTCAGTGTTCAAAGCACACGTTTTGAGGTCACGCAAACCCAGAAGTGTCTAAACTCTCACAGAGTTGCGCGTTCACATGGAGAGTATCAAACCAAACACAGGTTCAATTCTTCTCAGCTATGTAACTTCACACAAAATCCCAAGCATGGCTGATGCTGGTCTAGATGTTCAGGTCGCACAGTACTGCCCGATCAGAATTCGACTGTAGTTGCTAACCCCACCCCATCCTGCAGGCAGAGGCCGACTTGGCACTCGTAGCCAATCCCTGCGCTCGGTGGACAGCCGTAAACGAGAGGACTCTGATAAGACCCGCAGCGGACAGCAGTCATCCCAAACAGGTAAGAAGACAGGTGACATCAGCCTCCTCTGCAGCTTGGGGTCACACACATATACACACTTGCAACCATTTCACTCACTAGTCCACATACAGGGGAGTAGACTGGATGTGTATGTGGTAACCCTGGATGCTGGAGAGCCGTAGTAAGATGTTAATGGGTTCAAGTGCAGCATTGTCTGCTAACTCCCTATAGTTCCCACTGCATGTAGGATGGTCTCTCTCAATCTCTTTTCATTCTAGCATTTCAGCATCTCAGGGGGCCAGACAAAAGTGTTATTCAGATAAAACAAGCACAATGTTGTAGTAAGTGCTAATCACTTTATGCAGAAGAAAACAATGATTTGACTTAACATTAAGAACTTGCAGCCAAACATTTTACTTTTTGCACACTACTCTACCTGTAATTATCTGTTCACACTGACAGCTGTTTTTGCTGTATTGTTGGTAGCTAGTAGCAAAGTCTCTTGGAATGCAAGTCACACGGTGGTTCTATTTGCAATGCACATCCTGGCATGCAAGATCTAATCGAATGGGGAAAATCTAAAAATCTCAAAAACTGCTTGACAAACTTATTTCAAATTAGCAAAAAAAAAATTCTTGTGAATGTTGTTTCTTGCACTCAGTTGATGTTGGAATGCATATATTTCTGGTTGGCCAATGCCAATGCAGATGTGCAGTCCTAAGCATGAGGTTTATGTGGGAAGCGGTATGTCTAAAAGTAACTGCAGTGCAAAACGACTAACATCTCTTATTTCAAAGAATTGACTTCCATTACTAGAGCTGCCATATTGTGCGTTGCAGATTTTCCAATTCATAGCAATATGAGTGAACCATCTTGGGTATCATACAGTCTTTCCTAGTAGGCGTTCCTGTCATAACACTGGCGGGCTATGTAAATGGCAATAGCTTCTGAACATCTGATCACAAATATGATATATTGCTGGTAAAAATAAGATGTTATTCTGTTTGGACAAGGAATACGTTTTCTTGCTGCTAAAAATGGAATAGATGTTCATAAAATTGCAGAAATACATCATATCATAAATAAGATGAACAATGATCAATGCATACTGCTCAATGTGCTCCAATGTCTTCACTCTTATTGGTAGTCGTCCCATTACGTCACCTCTCATTAAACTTTTCTCAAATTTTTCTCATCCCAAACAGTGGCTTATGCCATCGGGAAATAGGCAACTCCTGTTTAAAATAAATGAATTCAAGTTGTTGTAGACCGTTGTCAGTGTGAACCAGTGCTCTTTAGTTTTTCCCTGGTGTGTTGTCGAGGTGCTTTTTTCTCTCTATAAATCATACCCTAGCCGCTCTGATTACAGTACACGGGTCGTGGGATGAATGGACTCCATGGAGCTTGTGTTCTTCAACGTGCGGCCGTGGGTACAGAGACCGTACCCGCTCCTGCAAGCAGCCACAATTTGGAGGAAACCCCTGCGACGGTCCAGAGAAACAGACCAAATTCTGCAACATTGCTGTATGCCCAGGTGATCTTTGGGTCTTTAAATACAGACTGTCTCATACAGATTTAATAACTTTCATCAAGCAGCACAATTAAATCCTAATGTGAGGCACTGTAGAGAAGGAGATTGAAAGGAATCTTTGTGAAGTTCACAGCAAATGATGGTGATTAATAGAAGCTTTAAATCACTGCGGATTGGACTGGAGTTTGGCAACCCAAAGCTCCTTTCACTTTCCCCTGCAATATATCTTCCAATAATGTCCCCTTATCATGCTCCACTTTCAGTATCCTCTATCCTCAAATTTAGAAAATTCTTCAGTTTCTTCTTATAACTTTGGCTTTTACTCTGTAGTGGATGGCGTGTGGAATGAGTGGTCCAGCTGGAGTTCCTGTTCCTCGTCCTGTTCAAATGGAACAATGCAGCGCACTCGGGAGTGTAATGGGCCCTCATATGGGGGCCTGGAGTGTCAGGGCGAGTGGCGTCAGACAAGAGACTGTTTCCTCCGAGAGTGTCCTGTGGATGGCCAATGGCAGCTCTGGAGCTCTTGGGCTGGTTGTACCAAAACATGTGGTGGAGGAAGCCAGCAAAGACAGAGGGTGTGTTACGGTCCATTTTTTGGGGGGGAGCCATGCCCAGGGGACAGAGAGGAAGTTAGACATTGCAATGAGAAGAGATGTCCAGGTGAGACAATCACATGGTTGTAACCAAAAGTCATTCTCTGCTAGGAGTGGTCAATATACTGGTAGACACAGTAAACTGGTTGAAATTTGACAACTGGTATTCATTTCCGATTACCATCTCTATCGTGGCAGTGTTGTACATCACCCAAGTTTATCCTTTTCACGCATTTTTACGTTTTGACACGTTAAACTTTAGAGAGATTTTAAACCACTATAGCACTTTTGCAAAATGCAAAAGAGGTCTCAGTTTGATACTTGTGCACTGTTCTGATAGATGGTTTTATTTCTGAAAGACGTTTTTAATTAAAACCGTCTGTCAGAACTGTGCGCATGTATTTAACTGAGATCTCTTTCATGTCTTATTGTGCCACCTGTCACAGCGTGTTATTTTTGCACTTTATTTCGCTCAAACGGTCGAATACACACAAAGTTATGTCAAAATGCCTGTCTTAAGTTAGAACATTAGATCCGTGTATTAGGTCTTAAAGTGACAGTAGCCTAATATACCTGCTTCTTATCTTCAGTAAGGTTGAGAACCTTTTACTTGTATTAGTTAGGCTAGAATTGGTTTTTGCTATGGCACTGAAATATTTGCATCTAAAATGTTGGCATTGTAACAACCTTATTTGCAGCAAAAATAACAATTGTGATATACACTGTTATCGTGAAACACAATTACTCATTTTGGTTATATCGCCCACCCCTATTCTCTACTATTTATAGACTTCAGATGAATTATGTTGTAATTCTGTACCTTACTTGTTTCTTTGATCACATGTTGTGGGATTGTTCAGGTTTTTGTGGTTTTTACTTGTTTGGTTTTATGCAGAGCCGCATGAAATCTGTGACGAGGAGAATTTCTCTAACGTAGTGTGGAAGAAAACTCCTGCAGGAGACACTGCAGCTGTCCGCTGCCCTCCGAATGCTGTAGGTAAGACATGACTCATGCAAACACGAACACACCAGAATAACTTTCTAAACAGTCATTACCCTCAAAGCTATACTGAGACATTTTCAGGACCACGGACAGCTCCAAACGCTTGGGTTAAAGAAAACCAAGAAACATGCAGTATACAGTTTTTAACCAATCCTTGTTCAAAATCTGGTAATGATGACACATTTCTGTGATGCAGGACTAATTCTTCGGCGATGTTCGTTGGATGATGAGGGCATTGCATACTGGGAGAACCCAACATACTTGAAATGCGTCTCAAATGACTACCGAAGTATCCAAACACTGGTAGGTGATCTCCAATCTAATTCTAGTTAAGTTAAAACCAAGATGGTGTCTGCAAAGCTAAGGTTTTTTTTTTTACCTACTCCAGACCAGAGATCACCTGTCCAAGGCTCAACGAGGGCTTGTGGGAGATGGGGTCTCTGAAGTCATGACCAAGCTGAGGGTGATGTCAAGTGATGGAACAAGCTACAGCGGAGACCTTCTGGCTATCATAGATGTACTGAAAAACATGACGGAGATATTTAGGAGGTCCTACTACAGCCCCAGTAATGCAGACATGAGGGTTAGTTAAGCATTAGTTCTAAATAAAAGATTTGACCCTGAATGCCCCTGAATGTTTCTCTGTCATGTGGTTTTGTTCACAGAATTTTGTGCAATCAGTGAGTAACTTACTGATGGAAGAAAACAGAACATTTTTTTCCTTTTTGATTAATTGTTTAATTAAAAACACTTTTGGCTTTTGATGGTGCTGAAACAGACCAATTGAAATCACCCCCAACTCTATTACTCACTCACACCTTGAACATTAGAAAGCCGTAATACACAATATCCCTTTGAAAATGCCGAACAGTCCCTGAGCTATGAATGAGTATGTCCCTGATATGCTGCTCACACAGATTTCCAAATATGCATAGTTCTATGCATTTCTATAGCTTTGGAATCACACTCTAAACCACACACATCTCTCCTGCACAAAGATGACTATGGTTTACTCAGCACCCAGGTTCGCAAAAACAACAGGAAGATGAACCTTCATGGTCATACGTTGTGGGCCGCAGCTAGCAGAGTTTAAAAGGGAGTGTGAGAGGTTCTGTTTACCTCTGAATCACTGAGCTGCCCATGAGCTCAGATTCTCCCATAGTGACAACACCTGTCCTACAGCAATGACCTATCAGTACCACACAAAGCTTTAAGATGCAGATATATGTATATGTAACACCACACATTCATCAACAGATGGAAAATACTGCACAAGAACTTGAACACAAGAACATGAGTGGTACTGTATAGAGTTAGTTTCTTTTTCACTAAGTAATTTAATGTCTCTGCTCCAAACTGGATTTGGATGCAACAATGTGATGTCAGGGCCATGGCCTAGTGGTTAAAACAGTTAAATGGTCAAATATAACCATTTCAAAGAACTGTTTTTGAATTTAAAGGGGTGGTTCACAGTTTTTTTTCTAGGCTTGATTGTGCACGGACAGCTCCAAACGCTTGGGTTAAAGAAAACCAAGAAACATGCAGTATACAGTTTTTAACCAATCCTTGTTCAAAATCTGGTAATGATGACACATTTCTGTGATGCAGGACTAATTCTTCGGCGATGTTCGTTGGATGATGAGGGCATTGCATACTGGGAGAACCCAACATACTTGAAATGCGTCTCAAATGACTACCGAAGTATCCAAACACTGGTAGGTGATCTCCAATCTAATTCTAGTTAAGTTAAAACCAAGATGGTGTCTGCAAAGCTAAGGTTTTTTTTTTTACCTACTCCAGACCAGAGATCACCTGTCCAAGGCTCAACGAGGGCTTGTGGGAGATGGGGTCTCTGAAGTCATGACCAAGCTGAGGGTGATGTCAAGTGATGGAACAAGCTACAGCGGAGACCTTCTGGCTATCATAGATGTACTGAAAAACATGACGGAGATATTTAGGAGGTCCTACTACAGCCCCAGTAATGCAGACATGAGGGTTAGTTAAGCATTAGTTCTAAATAAAAGATTTGACCCTGAATGCCCCTGAATGTTTCTCTGTCATGTGGTTTTGTTCACAGAATTTTGTGCAGTCAGTGAGTAACTTACTGATGGAAGAAAACAGGGACAGGTGGGAGGAAGTACAACTGGTGAGTCAGCCTTCATTCTCTCTCTCTCTCTCTCTCTCTCTCTCTCTCTCTCTCTCCATGTCTCTG